TTTTTTTTTCCAAAACATATTCTGAATCTGTTCACTTCTCACCACTTCCACTGCTATCCCTGCCCCCTCCCCCTGCCCCACAAGTCCAAGCCACCATCATCTCTTGCCTGGCTTTCGTAATAGCCTCCTAACTGGCCTCCCTGCTTTAACCCTATCCCTACTCAGTTCATTCTCCAAACTGTATGCAGAGGGATATTTTAAAAATTCATAAATTAGATTATGTCACTTCTCTGCTTCAAATCCTCCACAGGCTTTCTTCTGCAACCAGAAAAGTAGTGCACATTCCTTTCCATGGCCTACAACAGGCCCTGCATGATCTGGCCCCTGGCTATCTCTCTATCCTTATCTCATGCCATTTTCCTTCTCTCTGTGCTCCAGTCATGGCCTTTTTCTTTTCCTATAACATGCCAAGCTCATCCTATCCTTGGGTCTCTGCACTTACTATATCCTTTGCCTGGGACCCTCTGCTTCCAGATCTTCCTGTGGCTACCTCCTTCTTGTCATTAAAGTCATATGTTTCTGGACTTCTTAGACCGAACAAAGTAATCTAGCCAGCCACTCTTTATTATGTGCACTCTTCACTTTTAAAAAATATTCATTCATGAATTCTACAAGTATTTACTGAGCACCTGCTATATGCCTTTATTCTAGGTATGTGCAGATACAGTGAACAGACGAAAAGCCCTGTCCTCATGGACCTAAAATTCTAGGGAAGGGATATAGCCAAGAAAACAAAGAATGAAAATATGTAGTCCATAAGAAGGTATAAGTTCTAGGGAGAAAATTAAAGCAAGGAAGGAGGATACAGAGTACTGGGGTGACAGTGAGGTTGCAATTTTAAAGAGGGTGCTCAGGGAAGGCTTCACTTAGAAGATGATATCTGAGCAAAGATCTGAAGGAGGTGAGGTGTGAACCGTGCAGATATCTGGGAGAAGAATGTTGCAGGCAGCCTAGCAAGTGCCAAGGCCCTGAGGAAGGAAGATGCCTGGCACGTTTGAGGTCAGTGTGGCTGGAGTGGTGTGTTTAAGACGGATCATCAGGAGAGGTGGTCAGAGAGATCACGAGGAGAGGGAGGGGTATCCGGAACATCTAGGACCTTGTAAGCCACTGTAAGGGCTCTGGCTTTTACCCTAGGTGAGATGGGAAGTACTTCTTCCTACATAGAACTATTATGCTTATGTCCCCCAGCCACCACCACCACACACACACACGCACACACGCGCGCACGCACACACACACACACACACTCCCAAGGTAGAACGTAAGATATAAGTCCCATGAAGGCTAGGACTTTGTCTGTCTTATTCACAGCTGTATCCCTAGCACTTAGAACAGTGTCCAGCAAAAAGAAAGTGCTCAGTGAAGATTTGTTAACTGGATGAATGAATTGTGCAGGTGCAATATTAGAAAGTTTATAGGAACTAAGCATGCCTTACTTAAGCAATGAAGTTGAAAAAAACACTGATATTAGATTCAGGTTTAGACAACTTGGGATCTATACTCTGATTCACTGTATGACCTTGGACAGGTCATGTCCCCACCCTGAACCTCAGTTTCTTTATCTCCAAAATGAGGAGGTTATACTAGATGGCTTCTCTCTGGCTGTAACAGCCTATGAATCCACAATGCAGGGGACACGCCAGTGATATATCACCTTCTGACTATGATGTGTTGATGGAATTCTGGTAATGCTTACTGCTATTCTATGGTTTATTTATCTTTTAATGAATGCTATTTCTACTCATAGGTAGAGAGGATGGCTTTTCTCAAGTGACTCCTTGAGTTCCAGGCTTGAAATAGTCAAGGTTAACTCTAGCTCTGTGGTTTGAGCTTCAAGGCCGCCTTTACAGTAAACATGACACTCCTACCTCTAGTTCAGTGCTGTCATTGTTAGAACCACATTAATCCTGAGGTTTCCACAAATAAGGGACCAAAAACTCAACTCATATATATTTTAATGAGCCAATTCTAACAGAGACAAAAAATAAAGTGGGGTCCACCCTAGCTGGATTTTAATGTAAGCAAATAAATTTAGGTTTAATCTTTAGCTTTAAAAGCTTTTTTATATATGTTAGTAAGGCTAAGCTAGTTATACAAAGCAAGCATATACTCTTAAAGAGATGATTGAATCCTAGTAGTATGAGCTCTGGACCCCATATAAACTATCAATGTGATAAACACTTATTTCCTGGATAGTTTCCACAAGAGCAGAGGCATTGTAAATTCATAATATCACACCACATACTCTACACCCAAATCACTGATAAAATCTTAACAGTGACTCAGACAAAGCAAACTAGTTGGTTCATGTAAACTAGTTAACAAACCTAGTATTCCCCTAGAGTAGGTCAACCTACTGGAAAATGTAGTATTAACTTCAGGGTTGTCAACAGGAAAAATTATCAATGCAATGAACAAAATTTCCTTTTAAGTAATATCTAATTTAAGAAAAAATCAATCCAACCTTCTGTTATTTTGGCACTTGGATCTGGGGGGCGATCTTCATCACCACTAAAAACAAAAGGTAAAAGACATTTCATTTTCTATGTATTTAATACATAAAGGAATACTGGTTAAGCAAAAGAACAATTTGTCAAAGTGATTATTCATACAGAAGCAAACCTGGAATGGTGTGTCTCTGAGTGCTCAAATCAAATGAAAATGATAGCTACATGGCTTTTATCTGTTCTTATATATGCCTCCTTCTCTTCTCCATTGGTACAAATAATTGAGAGTTGCTTGTATTACTAATTATATATGTTAAAATCATCATGAGGGCAGATAGGGTCAAGCGTAAATGTCCTAAAATGGCATCAGGTCAAAAAGAAACCTTAATTTCATAGTGCAAAGTGGAAAAGCATATAGTTACAACCAGGAAGATTTTCTCTCCTTTTACCCAATTCCTCCTGTGATACAAAGTTCTACCCCTCCCAGTTTGTGAATATTCTTATAAATGTAAGAACAATTTTAGACATTTTTTTGACTATTCTAGAAAAAGATGTTAACAGACTTCAAGTTCCTTTCTGCCCTCTATAAATACCAGAGTCCAGCCTTTGCTCCCACAGTCTTCCCCAACTTGCCTGGTCTTCTTATGTAAATCTTACCCATCTTTAAAGGCTCAACTCAAACTCCATTGCTTTGGAGAATGCTTCTCTGAATGCTCCATTCTCGGGATTCCTCTGACAGGAGGTGCCATTCTATTGAGCATTTAGGTACTTAAGGGAACTAAACAGCAACCCCTCTGGGCGGGCCATTAGTGCAGGGGCTATTGTTGACCTAGTGCATGTCTCCCAGGTTCAAGAACCTAACACATTAACAACTTAAATCTAACTATACAAATAGATTATTATACTAAAAAGCAGTTTCCTGGAGAAGGAAGTAGAGGCCAGATAAATAGGAATGGAAGAGAAAGAAGACAGGAAGGGGAGGCCCATGAAGTAACCACAGCAGGGAGCGAGGGGAGGGAGTGAAGGGGACATTGAGGAACTAATCGCTGGCTTCCTCGCGGGTTTACTTGAGAGTCCCATTTCTCCATAAGCATACTTTTCCTTTTGGATTTCTACTTACTTAGCCAACTTGTATTGCTTTAAACTGACTGTACCTGGAAAATGAAGGCAAATCATCTTCATTGAATGAGGATGAACTCATAATTCTGTGCATGAAGAAATGTATTAGTTCCGTAGGAGATTTCATTTCTTCTCTCTGGAAAAGTACAAGTCAGGTATTACACAAAGTAGAGTTTACAATAAAGCAGTGAAAATATACTATAACATTTCCTTAGTTATTTATGTAGCCAGCATTTCTGACCAGGCACACTGTGTTTGGTCATGAAATCTCACATGGCTTCCCAATAAATAGAGCAGAGTTTGTGTTAAGGCTACTGACCTGACCAGAGTTATGTCTGTGGGTTTCGTTTTCTCTGGTTCACTGCAGCTTCTGGGTTAACCTGGGCATCACGGCAATTGGATAATTCAGGTAATTGTCTCACCAGGAAATCCTAAATCAGGTGTATTCTCCAGACACATGGTATGGTGCAACTTTTTGGGTAGGGCCAACCTAAAAGGTTAGTGGGGCCCAAGACCATCATTAAAGGGATATGGAAACAGGGACAGGAACTGTGTGTCAAAGTGATAGTGGGGTTTACAGCCTGATTGCAGGAGAAATATTCAACATATTTTGAATAACTTGTTATGTTTCAATAAGCCGGCAAAGTAATTTTTTAGAAAAAAAGTTGGCAAAGTAACTTGCCCAAAGGTCACATAGCTTGCTGGTGGCAGAGCCAAAATTCTAACCAAGATAGGCTGAACTTGCATGAAATCATTTTACTTTCCTCAAGCCCATCTGGTCCTGCCCACTGGTATGGAGTTTCTGTGCACCAAACTTTCAAAGAGTAAAAGCATTGAATGGTAAACCAGCCAGAGTACAAAACAGGATAAAATCTATCATTTAAAATAGTTAGCTTGCATCTCTTCTAACTGGTTTCCATTTTCTGTTTTTCTTGTGCTTCTTTCTAACCTAGGACTCTTTCCATGATCTGTTCTTCCTCAATTAAGGATCCTGGCTTCATCTGTTAATCATTTCCCTTTTATTGTAAATATCATCAGAGTTAGGAGACACTGCCTTTTCTTCCTATCCAAGATACACTGCTTGCACTAAGTTTGTGAAACTCTCTACTCTCTTCACCACTGACAGTCATATTTCTTACTTACACTTAATTGTGTCCTTTTCTCCCAAAAGGAGGAGCCTGTGTTGGTCGAGGATTTTGTGGTCGCCACATTGCCTTCATAAACAATTCTTTTTTTTTCTTTTCCCACATTTATTTATTTATATCAGCATAGACTCATGAATATTTGTTTTATACAATGTATAAACCCAGTACCATTTAGTCTGTGGCTCGACTCTGGCCATGGGCAGCTCTTTCATCTCGTTCCCCTGTCCCTTTGATATTCTCCATCAATGTGGGGTTTTGTGTTTTTTTTTTTTAATATAAACAATTCTTTTTATTTTTTCTCCTCAGCTTCTTTCCATTGAGTTGGGGATGCTTCAATGCTTTTTATAGTTACACTGGATTTGGGATGATAACATTTCACTAGTGACAGAAATTTTTTCAGACGTCTCTTACTAACTTGGTGGCTCAGGAAAAGCCATTGTGCTTGCAATAGGCTTCATGTCTTCCTTTACTTGATCTTTAGTCCTTCTGAAGAGTCTTTTTTTTACAACCTCTTGTAAAACAACTTCATCCTCATCAGAAATTAAGTTCTCTTCTCCTTTATTTTCTATCTCTTCTTGATCAATATCATGAGCTACCAATCGGATGATAAGCTCTTTTTTGTTCTGGACATCTTTTAAAAGCTTTGCTTTGGTGATGTCAGGCTTTATTAAATTCTGAAAAGAATTCCTACCAGCTATCTGGAATTGAAAAAACAAAGAATATTAAAAACAATAGCCTCAGTAATTTTTCCTGTGGTTTTATTGTAATGAGGCAATTTGTACATGGTTACTAGTTTCAATTTAGGAAAATTACTTATCTTCACATGCCATGTACTTTTATATTAATGATATACTTAAAAGCAAAAATAAATGAATATCATGAGCAATTTTTACCTACATGTATTTTTTGCGTTCAAAAATAATATCATTTCAGTCCACAGAAGTGAACCTAACTAAGGTTCTTTCTTTTGCTTCGAGGTTTACTTTTTATTAGCCAAGAAATGCAAAGTGCACAAATAGTTTAACTTCTCTTTTCATCATTTACCCTGAAAGTTCTGTTAACAGACTTAGCCATGATAACATGTTTTTCTAAACTTCTTAGTAAGGAACTAATTATAGAGCAATCTTAATACAGATATTTTTTTGAAAAAAAGACAAGGTATTGGGCTGACCTGGAATTTTTTTTTAAATGATGAAAAATAGTCAAGACTGTGAAGGCCTTTGAATGTTTACTCCTTGCCTCTCTGCCCCTAATCCTTTGAACATATTTTCCAAAAGAAGTGTCAAAAAGTAAATCTCCATTTCTCCTGACCTCCCTAGTCAAATGTTACTTTCCATTTTGCAATGTTAAAGACAGCTCAAGGAAAAGACAGCTGTAATTAAATAAACGACTTTTCCCATTTCTGTAGCCTTTGATGATGCCACAGAACCTTTAAATTAATCTGAGTTATCAATCTCAGATCTCACCATCTCTTTGAAGCACTGTTAACCAGCTTTTCAGATAAATGCTGCCCTAAAGGAATATCTTTTGTGAGAAACAAAATGAAAGAGGAACTTCTGTAAGAGGTGGAAACAATCAATTTTGATTATTAGTACTGGTGGAGGGGAAGTGGTTCAAAAAATAAAAAAATTATAAAAGGCCACAAAAAAACAATTACATTATACAATGTTGAATATACTAATTATCCTGATTTGAACATCGCATATTGCACACAGGTGTTGATATTCAACTCTGTACACCACAGATACGTACAATCAACTATGTTTACATAAAAATAAAACTAAACAAAAAAAACAAAAAACAAGTAAAAAATTATTCTATATGGCTTTGGAGTTTGTCACTGTATGAGCCTTTAATATGCATGTACCTGGTGTGTTGGGAAGTTTGGGTACCTCAAAACAGCAAATGAAGCACTACTGGTGGATTCCTGACTGAGGAGTAGCTTATGCATTGTCTGGGTTCCCTAAACTCATCTATTGTTCTTTCTGCACCCCCAAACTGCCATGCTGGGGATGGGTGCGTTGCTATCCAGATTGCTGCAAAGCATCTGTTTCAGCTGAGCTGCCTCTGTTTGTTTACTCTCCTTATAACAGCTTTTGCTCCTACTAAGAGTGACGGGGATAGTTGTTTTGGATTCAATATTCTCTTCCAATTTTCTCTGGGCTTTAAAGAGATGGTTAAAATGCTGATAAAAGATGTAAGTGAGAGCAAGTGACCAAGAATAAGGGCTGCAACAGATATTTCTGCAGGTGATTAAGCACTGACTTGGGTTAATGTTGTACAGTTTAGTCACACAGATCTTGTACTCAAGGAATTATTTATAGATAAATGAAGACCACCTAGTAAATGCTAATATAATTTTGAAAACCCAGAGAGAAAAGGACATTTTAGAGATAGAAAGGACCTTCATCTGGTACAAGAAACTAAGGACCAAAGAGAATCCATTAGTGTTCTGGCCCATAACAATCTCAGTATTTGGGACTAAAAAAAAAAAAAAAAAGTCCCTATCATTGTATTCACCGGCTCCGAGACTTAGTTCAATGGGTTGGAAAATAATGCTAAGGAAAACACACTTTCTAGGCTTATGCTCCAGGCAGATTGGTTTTATAGATCTTTGCTCAGTTTTTAAGCCACAGGCTGCCTCCCTTGTGTCAAAGCATACCATCAGTGCAACAGGCTCATTTAGGCCAAGGGGCTTTGGTATTACATGAGAACATGGGGCTGGGTCCGTGCCACTTCATCTCTGGGCAAAGTCTTATGTAATAAAAGTGAAAGAAGAAGAGTGAAATCTGAAGAGCTTACCGTCTCACGTTTGTTGATGAATGTTGCTAAGTAAAAACAAAACCTGAGTCTGAGTATTTAAATATCTAGTGACGGCGGGTTTAGCTGAAATTCTAACTGCCCCTTTCGCACCATATAGTACTACGATAATATATGTTCATTAAAAAAAAAAAAAACTGTGGGAATTTAAAGGATTGCATTTCTGCTGAGTTGCCTAATGAGGACTACAATTATACTCAGTCTGGTTTGCTGCTTAAGGGCATTCCCATTCTTTGAGCCACAGAGCTGATGGGAGGAGTCTCAGGAAGGCAGAGGATTTGGGATGAATCAAGAGTACCCAGTTCTACTGGGCTGGGCCGGAGAAAATTGACCGTATTTGACAAATGCGTTCTGTTGACCTACCTGAGGGAGAATGTCACAGGAGGTCAACTAGGTCTCTCTCGCTACTCCTTTTCACCACCGCTTTTTGCACTTACCTCTAACGGCCTTACATTCAGTCGTCCTGTCTTATCCAATGAGATGCGTCCTTCCTTCCTCTTTCTTGTATCACTTGCGTCTGTTGAGTAACTCCTCCCACTTACTGAAGCTCTTCTCAGTGTTTCTACGGTATGTGCAGTTCTAGCTAAACACTCCATCTGCAGCTTCTCAATAGTATGAGTTTTTATAGAAATGACTCCTAAGTGTTCTGCAACAATGCCTGGATCGACATTGCTTGGTTGTTTCCCATGGTGAGGAATTATTTTAATCGGAAGTTCCTCTTTAGTTAACTCTTTTTTCTCTAGCTCAGGCTCCATTTTAACAGCATGCTCATGCGCCTTTTCAACAATTTGACTGACGTCCAGATCACCAAAGAGATTAGCATGGGAATCTTTTGAGTGAATTGTTTCTAATGGACAATTTAAAACTTTACTAATAATCAAAGAAGCCATCTTATTAGGAAAGAACTGGTTTGTACCTCTCACGTCATTATAAAATTCTTCATGTGTTCCACATTGTTGTAGCATATCATGAAGCAGGGAACCCCGAGCACTTTCTGTTTGTTAAACCTGCCCGCTGTCGCTGGAGAAACTGCTTTAGATATTTTTCTTTTCTCTTCTTTTTTTTTTTTTTTCCCCCTGACTGGTAAGGGGATCGTAACCCTCAGCATGGTATGGTCTGCACCACGCTCAGCCAGTGAGCGCACCAGCCATCCCTATACAGGATCCGAACCTGTAGCCTCGGCGCTACCAGCACCGCGCTCTCCCTAGTAAGCCACAGGCCGGACCTGCTTTAGTTTTTTTTTTTTTTGTCCTTTTTTGAGACCGGCCGCACTGCGCTCAGCCAGTGAGCGCTGTGAGCACACCGGCCATCCCTATATAGGATCCGAACCCATGGCGGGAGCGCTGCTATGCTCCCAGCGCTGCACTCTCCTGAGTGCGCCACGGGCTCGGCCCTGCTGTAGATATTTTATGTTTGGCTGACCTAACTGCGAACTTTCGCTTCTTAACCCGGCTTACTTCCTGCTTCCTGCACCCATGCAAATTAGGCTCCAAAACTGACCAATGAGCTACGTTTCATAGCCAACCAATCCAAACTAACAGACTTGCATCCTTCATTTGCATAAGAGGACGTAAATGAGAACTTGGGCGGGGTTTTTTTTGGCTATATAAGGAGGGCCCTTTCTCTCATTTGGAGAGACGCGACTGGGATATTGGTGCTGTGCTTGTGGGCGTTGAAGCGCTGTAACACTGAAGAGAGCTTTTCAGAGTCGGTTGGTGGATCACGCGGGAGACTGCAGTCCTCATAGCACTGAGATCGCCAGTTTGGACCCTACATAGGGGTGGCCCGTGTGCCCACTGGCTGAGCATGGTGCAGAAAACACCGTGCGGAGGATTGCGGTCTCCTTACCGGCCGTAAAAAGAAGAAAAAACAGCTGCAGTATTGCAGGGAGCTGTTAAGAGCTAGCCCCCTGGCTTGCTCAGGAGAGTGTGAGGATGATAGCACCAATGCCGGGGGTGCGGCTCCTATGTAGGGATGGCCGGTACACTGAGTGGCTGAGCATGGTGCAGACAACACCATGTTGAGGGTTGCAATCCCTTTACCGGCCAGAAAGAGCTGTCGACTTAGCTTCTTCCGGTGGCACAGATCTCTGACACGGGCTGACCCCGTGGCTCACGCAGGAGAGTGCGACTCTGATAGCGCTGATGCTGGGGGTTTGGATTGTGTATAGGTATGGCCGGTGCACTCGTTGGTTGAGCGTGGTGAGGACACTACCATGTTGAGGGTTGCAATTCTCTTACTAGCCAAAGAAAAAAAAGTTGTCAACCTAGAGCTGCAACACTGAAGAAAGCTGTCAAAGGCTGGCCCCCGTGACTAAGAGTGTGATGCTGATAGCACCAGTACTGGGGGTTCAGATCCTGTATAGGGATAGCCAGTGTGCTCACTGGCTGAGAGTGGTGTAGACAACACCATGCCAAGGGTTACAATTCCCTTACTAGCCAAAGAAGAAAAAGTTGTCAACCTAGAGCTGCAACACTGAAGAAAGCTGTCAAAGGCTGGCCCCGTGACTCAGGAGAGTGCGATGCTGATAGCACTAGTACTGGGGGTTCAGATCCTGTATAGGGATAGCCGGTGTGCTCACTGGCTGAGTGGTGTAGACAACACCATGCCAAGGGTTGCAATCTCCTTACTGGCCAAAAGAAAAAAACAACACTGAAAAGAGCTGTCAAGGGCCGGCCACGTGGCCTGCTTGGGAGTGTGATACGGGTATGTAGGCCGCGGGTTTAGATCCTGTGTAGGGATGGCTGGTGTTCTCAGTGGCTGGGGTGGTACAGACACCATGCTGAGGGTTGTGATCCCCTTACTGGCCCCCCAAAAAACAAAAAAACAAAACAAAAAACTGCAACACTGAAAGGAGCTGTCATAGTAACACTGGTTCCAGATTCCTCTGTGAGTTCTTCACAACATTTTGGAGGCCCCCAGTGAGATTCACTTACCAAGAACCATCACTTCAGAGGAAGAGCAACACAATGAGTTACTTTAGGGGAGGCCATTGCCATGACGTGTCTTGCCCCAGGGTTGATTTTGCCATGGATCCTAGGGGAGGCCACGGATGTTCTTTGGCCCCAGGAGAGTTTGGACCTCGTACCTGAAAGCCCAAATGCCACCAACTTCAATTGGCTTTGACTGGCACTGGAGTCTTTGTCTTGAATCTCCAGAGTTAAGCTTTGGTTGGAGGTCTCTTGCATTTGGGTATCAGCTCTGATTTGGGGACGCTGGAAGGCTGGATGCAGCAATGCTTCCCCAGTCCAGGACTCCCATGAGACATTGGGTCGTTTGTTTAGAAATTATTTGGTATTTGTGTGGAGTTTGTTGGAGCCACGTGTCTGTGTTGTCATTAACAGCGGTCCTACTGTGAGTTTGCCATATTAAGACATAAGTATATGCCATCCTGTATCTCTTAACCTTTTCTGCTTTTTAAGCTTGGCTGACCTAACCACAAACTTTCCCTTCTGTAACCCAGTATGTTTCCTGCACCTATGCAAATTAGGCTCCAGAACTGACCAATGAGCTATGTTTCATAGCTGACTAATCCAAACTAAGACTTGCACCAATCATTTGCATAAGAGGACCTAAATGAAAACTTGAGTGGGAGGTTTTTTTGGCTATATAAGGAGGGCCCTTTCCCTCCTTGGGGAGACTCTAGCCTGGTGCTGGTACTCCCCTTGCTTGCAAGCAGTGAAGGGTTGTAACACCAAAAAGAGCTGTTAACTAACAGCTGTCAACACCAAAAAGCTGTCAATAAAGAGTTGTTATACTAACACTGGTTCTGAATTCCTTTGTGTGAATACCTCATAACAATGTTATAAACAGCATCAACAACACGAGAAATAGTTTTTATGCGTTTTGGACTTAAAATGTGTTCCTCACGATTAGTAGGTACAATACTAATATGTCTGGAAATTATAGCTGAGATGTCATTTTATTTTAACTCAGGGTTTAGTAAGTTTTTAGCGTCTTTGTTTGAGGCACTTGGCAACTTCACTAGCCTATCCATGAGCAAGGCCAATATCTCCACAAATGTGGCAGCTAATACAGCAGCTTTTCTGAATGAATGCTGTTTCTTTGATCTAAGGTCATAAATAAACTTAACCACTTTTCCCATAATTTTCATGGCTTCCAGAATTAATTTTGAATTTGATGCTTCTTCCTGTACTTGAGAATGAAATTCTGAATTGGAAATTTCCTTCACCATTGAAAATCCTATTGCATCAGAGAGGACATTGCTCTTACCCATTAAATCTTTATATGGTGAAATAAGTGAGCCAGAGTGCTTTAAAACACTTACAAACAAAAGTAACTATTTCAATAATTGCACTGTCTGCAAAAGATACAGCGGATGTTTCTTTGGCCAGTGGTACAACTTTAATCTGACTTTCAGACATATATTCTTGGAATGAATTTAAGATTTTTGAGGTTATTGTTTGAATTTCAGCGTTTAAAGGGTTGTTTGGGGGGAGGGGGGCGAACCCGTGGCTCACTCGGGAGAGTGCGGCACTGGGAGCACCTGGATGGCCGGTGCGCTCACTGGCTGAGCGCGGTGTGGGCGACACCAAGCCAAGGGTTACGATCCCCTTACCACTCACAAAAAAATATATAAATAAATAAAAATAAAAAAAAAATAAAGGGTTGTTTGGGGGGAGGGGGGCGAACCCGTGGCTCACTCGGGAGAGTGCGGCACTGGGAGCACCTGGATGGCCGGTGCGCTCACTGGCTGAGCGCGGTGTGGGCGACACCAAGCCAAGGGTTACGATCCCCTTACCACTCACAAAAAAATATATAAATAAATAAAAATAAAAAAAAAATAAAGGGTTGTTTGGCTCCTTATCAGCTTCTGGAAACACTGATAAAAGCTTTGATAAGTTTGTAGCAATTTCTTTTATGTTAAAAGGCAGTTTGTAAGCCTGTGATGGCAGAGGCTGGGGAACTTCGGTGGTTTGGATAACATCTTTTTTTTTTTTTTGTCTTTTTGTCTTTTTTCGTGACCGGCAACGGATCGCAACACTCAGTTTCATCATTAAAAAACCTATTATATCAGAGAGGACATTGCTCTTACCCATTAAATCTTTAAATACAGAAGTATGAGAGCCAGAATGCTTTAAAACACTTGTATAAACAGAATTAACTACTTTTTCAATATTTGCATAGTCAGCTAAAGGTATAGTAGGTGATTCTTTGGCTGGTGATACAAGTTTAATCTTACTTTTGGAGATATATTCTTGCATTGAATTTAATATTTTTGAGGTTATTTTTTGCATTTCGTTTTCTAGAGATTTGTTTTTTTCCTCATGCACTTTTGGAAACATAGACAAAAGCTTAGATAAAAATTTTATAGCAATTTCTTCTATTATGTTATAAGACAGTTTATGAGCATGTGTTGGTTGAGGTAGGGGAGCATCAGTAGCTTGGATAACATCTTTAAGGATATTTTCAATAACACTGTCAACTTCTGTACACTGATGTGGAGTTAGCTCTCCAGAGAAATAGGTCTGTAGCTGATAGTCATTTCCTGTACAACTAAATCAACTATAGTTTCTGAAAACACTCTGAAACCACTGGTGATGCAATTTTGTTTGCTCTCTTGAGATCCAAATTGTAGCAAAAGGTTAATATAAATAGTCTGAACCACTAATTGAATGATTTCATTATCATTAGAATGTAAGGATTCTACATATAGCATAACCATATGTTTGTCTTTGGAGATCTTTGTCATAATTGTATTTACTAACTTCATTTGAAGAAAATCAAGTTATGTGTACAAATTATCCTCGGATATCTCTATTTTAGAGTTGGCTACCATCGAGAAAATTTTTGATAGAAGAGAAGAAGTTATACTCTAAAAATTCATGAGGCAGCATTATGGTATATGGCCATGATGTCTGACATTCTTTGCAGGCTGTTTGGGGCATCTTTTGGACCTTTCTTACAAACTCCTTAGATTGTAGAGGCAAACATACTGAAGCTGGAACCTCATTACAAAGTAGCAAGTTTAGCTGATGTTAAAAAATTTCTATTACTGCATTAGCTAGTCTTCTTGCTAAATTTTCACCATAACTGTTTATGTCCTTACAAATGGAGTCTTGAGATCTATATTCCTGCAAAATGTTGCACAGAGAGGAGTAAACAACCTTATTGACCAATGTTTTCTCCAATGATGGTGTTTTAGCCACTAAAAGTACCTTATCTGATGAAGGTGTTCTAGTTGCAGGTGGCATTCTATGCATGGATGGTATTTTATCCATTGTTATCATTTTTATCTCGGGTGGTGCTTCACAGATGGTTCTTTCTGCCTGAGAGATACTTTATGAACTGATGAAACTTTATCTGCAGTTAAGAAGGGCTGACTTCCCTGATCTGGGTTTGATACTTTAACTTGAACATCTGAAAACTCCTTTAACAGGGAATCAATCAATTTCATAGCTGCATCATAGAGCTCATTTTGATTTACACCACTGCTTACATTTCTACATGCATCATCTGTGTCTGGTGAGAAAGAAAAATCAATTTGTTAACTATTTCGGAGATAATATCTTCTAAAAAGTTGGCAGGCAAAATCCCAGGGTTGTGTTCTGGTGGGTTCTGAGGACTGTCTGGTTCACTAGGTTTACTTTTAATCTCTTTGTCTTTACTCTTCTCATTCGCTTCCTCTGTTGCAGGAACATTTTGGCTAGCTGAATTCCTTGAAACAGGCTGTGCAAAATCCTTACCATCCACCTGAGTTACATATGTGGCTTTATCATCTAGGGGACTTTGGGGTTTTGAATTGTCTCTTGGTCCTTGAAAAGCAGATATTCCTAAACCACTACTGTAGATGCTTTCAGGGACATTTTGGACATGTTTAAGATGCAAGATTTGTTTGTCATCCATAATTCCATGAACTGGAGAATCTCTCCTCTTCTCTTGGGTCTCTATTTTTCACCTTGGATTTTGGAGACAGTAATTCAACAGGTACATCCTCTTTTTCTAATGTTCTTCCCCCCCATCACTCCTCTTGTTATTATCTCTTTTAAAATCTAGTTCCAGTCTAAAGTTCTTGTTTTTTGTGTCATCAGTAGCTGGTGAAAAATGTTGGTATACCTCATCACCTCGCCCTTCCTCATCTTTTCTAGCTGAACTGTCCTTTTTTTTTTATTTCATTCTTTGTAAGTGCTGTATTTAAATCTGGCCCCTGAGTATTTTTACTTTTTACACCAGCTGTTGGATAACAAATTTTTGATACCTTCTCATTATCTTCTCTAATTGAACTTTCCTTTTTCTTTTCTTCCCCTCTCTTTTTACTTGCCACACCTCCAGCTAACCCTGACGCCAGATAATGGCTTTGCCCTTCATAATGCTAGTTATAGTGGTACATATTGGCTTGTGGATTCTGCCTTTTTTCATTGATGTTTTCTCCTTTTTGAAATCCTCTTTTCCATTAAATGCTCCTCTACCTATTTCCAAAGTGTTCATTTTGTTTTTCAGGCCTGGGGTAGATGATTGCTCTGGTGCAGAAACTGGGTTCCCCTTTAAGCTTCTGTTTGTCTCTGTAAAGATTTCATATGGCAGGTGTTGAACTCTTTGGATGATGTTATGCACATCTAGAAATGAAAAGACGGTGGAAGTCCAGTCTCCCGAAAAAAAGTGGTTGAATTTTAAAAGCAGAGATTGCCTTTTTGGCTAAATCAGCAATCCTCTCTATAACAATGTTACTTCTATCATCTTTTTGAACATTGTTAGATCCATATATTTATATGATCTCATCATACACAGAATCGGATACTTTATCAACTGTCTCTTTATCTACTGGTGGAAAAGAAAATGTTTCTTCAGCATTTGCTAAAACTTTAATTTCATTTTTCCTAAATTCCCCAACAGGGCATTTGTAAAATATATAGCCATACCCATGATATTTCTTTGTCCTTAGGATTTTCAGCAATACTTAGGAGAGTATAAGATTTGCGAGCAAGGTCAATTATAACATCTTCTAAAAATGTAGCAGAATACACAGTAGCCTGTGGTAGAGACGGTCTTTTTTCTTCAGCAGGATTTGAGAGTTCAATGACATGGTCATTTTTAGGTAAGTTACTAGAAGATGATTCTTCATCACATAAAAATGGCTGCAGATGGTAATCCACAATTTCCTTTATAATGAAACCAGCCATTCTCCTGAGGAAGGAGCCTCTCTTTTTGCATGTATCTTTTTGTGCTTTGGCTTGGAATTTTAAAATTTGCATTATATTATTACATATGGAATAAACAAAGTTGTCAGTTGCCCCTAACTGCATGCTCTCGGCATGCTCCTCTGCAGTGGCAAGTCTAATGTCATGTTCAGAAATTTCTGTTATAATTTCATCAGTCAGTTTTGAAGCTGCATTCATAAACTCATAATCTGGTGATACCTCTTCCTCTTCTAGTTCAGTGTCAGTCTCAGATGAAGGGAATATATATGCTAGAAGCTTGTAGATCATATCTTCTAAAAAGGAATGAGGCAAAACGGTGACGCGTGATGGAAAGATATGGCTATCAGCACTGATGGTGTTGAGCACATTTCTGATGATGTTCTCCTCCTGCAGACAGGAGTAAGATAATGCTAATTCTCCCCAAACTAGTGACTCCATCTGATAATCATAATTTTTCCTATTAACAAATAATATATGTTTCTCCCAAAACCAATGGCGTCACTTTGTATAGACCTATAAATACGAGTCAGGGACTTATAATCATCTAATATTTTTTCATAAATTAGGTTGACGGTTTTTTGAACCATTTTTTTATATCCTTCTGAAAAACACAGATCTTCATCCAAGTTATCTGCAACTAAAATTTGTGATGTGGTGAACTCCAGCACAATTGATTTTACTAATGTTGTAACAATGTCAGTAATGTTGGCTTTTGCTTTATGTGGGTTTTCGGCAACCAAGATATTATGTGAGAATACATAAAGAATTTTGCATAAAAGCTCAGAAATTACTTCCTCCAAAAAGACAGCTGAATTCACAATGAAAGACAATTCTCTTTGTCTAGGATCTCTTGCTCTCTGTTTATAAATTTGATCAACTGTACTTCAAGGAAGAGTTATATCTCCAGATAAAAATGACTGAAGATGATGGTTAAATATTTCTTTTATTATATAACGTGCTATTTTCGTAATAGGTATATTACTTACACCTTTTTTATCTTTTGTAGGAGACTGGTATACATTTGAATGAGAAATATCAGTGTAAATAGCATTAACTACAGCTTGAATATCTTTTTCTGGAATCACATTTTGTTTTTCTTTTCCATATTTAGTAGTGCATATTGCATGTTTAGAAATTATTGACATGATTTCATCGATCAATTTCATGACTGTATTACCAAAGTCTGGGTCTTCTGCACTAAAGTCCAATGGACTTATCTGAGATAAAATCTGAGTGACTATTTTTTCCAAATGTGTATGTGATAATACAGTGGTGTATGTTGTAGAAGTCTGTCTTTGGAGTATTGATTTACTAATATCATAATGAACTCTCTTTATCAAAACATCAGCATTGAGTCTTGAATATGATTTAAAAGGTGGCTTTGTTATGAAATCTGGATGAATTTGAAAATCAAAAACTTCAGCCAGGGCCGACCTCGTGGCTCACTCGGGAGAGTGCGGCGCTGGGAGCGCCGAGGCCGTGGGTTCGGATCCTATATAGGGATGGCCGGGTCACTGGCTGAGCACGGTGCAGGCAACACCAAGCCAAGGGTTATGATCCCCCTACCGGTCACACACACACACACACAAAAACCCCCCCCAAAACCAAAAAAACAAACTTCAGCCAGCATAATTTTAGTTACCCTCTCAGCCAATGTCTTTTTTTTTTTTGGACCGGTAAGGGGATCGCAACCCTTCGCACGGTGTCTGCACCACGCTCAGCCAGTGAGCACAGGCCATCCCTATATAGGATCTGAATCCGTGGCCTCAGTGCTACCAGCACCACACTCTCCCGAGTGAGCCACGGGGCTGGCCCTCAGCCAATGTCTTTGTGTCACTGAGAAAATCTTTATCAGGTAAGTAGTTCCAGTTCATATTCTTGTAAAACTTTGCTATACACCACATCAATAATTCTGATGATTACATCTCTATCTATAGGTAGCAAACACATTTTTCCTTAGCATTTTCTAGGATGCTAACTTGGGCTTTTGAGAATTCTTCTGTTATCAAATATATGAGTTCTTCAGCTGTTTCCAAAAGTTCTTTTTCTGAATCTCTCATTGATTTTGTTTGCACAATGCCTAACATTCTGTGGAATATTTTGCTTAAAACCCCGGAGATCACACCTTCCAAAAAAGCTGAGGAGTAAACACCAGAAAAATACTGTTGCCTTCTCACATCATCGAAGTATGCATATGATGAAGGAAGTAACAAATTTCCATACACAAATGGATGAAGATGTTGTTGACAGATATTTTTAATGATAAAACCTGCCATTCTATCAATAGGAATATTGTTACTGCTTGTGATATCATGCTCAACTGCTTCTCTAGACCCAGAGTTTTGGAAAATATTTCTGAATACTGAGTCAGCGAGATGCTGAGCATCATCCCCTGAAAAAACAGAGTTGGTTTCTTCATCTTTTGAAAATCTAATTTCATGTTGAGAAATTTTCATGCTAATATCACTGATTAGTTTTGAGGAGATCTCATTGAAATTAATTCCTGATGTATCTTCCGCAATTCCACTGTGTGAAAGCATGCAAGATACAGAAGGAAAGATTCTAGATAATAGTACTTTGATTATGTCTTCTAAATATGTGTATGGCAGTAAGGTGCTATATGGAGATAAATGCTGGCTTGGCTTCGTAGATTTACTGATGCCACTAAAGATGTGCTGTATAATATTCTCTGCTGTTAAAGTAGCATAGGAAGAAGCTGACAAATCCCCAGAAAACAATGGATGAAAAAGATAGTCAGAAATAGTTGCCACAATTAAATTGGTAATGTTTTCTCCAAAAATATCACTGTCTTTGCGTTCTGGATTATCAACCTCAGGGGCCAGCCCATTCTGTGTCAGGACATTCTTATAAGCTGAATTGACAAGTTCATCCACAGTGTCTGTATCTATAGAGGGAAAAGACTGTTCTTGGTCATCACAAAGAATGCAGATTTTAGCTTTGTCAAAATGATTATTAATTGAGTTTACTTTTTTTGGGTCATTTTGTACAGTTCATGCTCAGTGATTGGACTGAAGACCTTTGATAAAAGCCTGGCAACAATTTCTTCTACAAATGCATGAAGATAAAAGCTCATACCTAGTGATGATGAGGTCTTCTGGGGTCTGCGTGACTCTGTGACTTCACTGAGAACCTCTTTAACCATATTCGATATTTCATTCAATAGAGTCCTTGAACGAGGTAAGCCTTTTCCACACAAAAATGGTTGAAGATGATTTTCGATAATCTCTTGAATAAGACTGGCCATTCGGTCAACCATAATTGGGCTTTGGCTTACTATACTTTTCTGTACTGACACAAGAGAGTCAGATATCTGCAAAATATTATCATACATAGACTCCACCATATTTTGGAGGTGATTTTCTGTATGCAGATATTGATAATCATATTTAATGAGCCAAATCTTATGCTTTGAAATGGTTGTCATAACTTTATTTATTATACAGGTGGATATCTCATTAAAATCTGAAGTTGTTAAATAGTTCTTTCCCTGGGCCGGCCCGGTGGCGCACTGGATAGTGCGCCGCTTGGGAAGCGCGGGCGCTCCCGTCCGAGGGTTCGGATCCCACATACAGACCGGCTCCCGCTCACTGGCTGAGCGAGGCGCGGGAGCAACACCGAGGTTTGCAATCCCGTTGCCGGTCCCCGGTCCGGTACGGGGGCAACACTGAGGGTTGCGATCCGTTGCCGGACATGGAAAAAAGACAAAAAAAATAAAAAAATAAAAAAATAAATAGTTCTTTCCCAAGCATGAAGCCTTGCTGGATAGAGGAATAAGCTGACATAATAGCCTTCTGATGACATCTTCTAAAAATGAGTGTGATAACATGGTAGTATAGGCTGCTGAATGTTGAACTTGATAATTAAGTTCTCTCAGGTTATTCTGAAGTTTCTGCAGTATATTTTCAGCTTTGAGAGGGTGATATGAGTTACACATGAGCCTTCCTATAAAGCACAATGGGAGTTTCTATCAATATCTAAAGTCTCTATCAATATGCCATGAGTTATCTGTTCTGCTATTGAAGTCATAGCATGTGCCAGACGATTACCACAGGTCACTTGCAATTCATATTCCCATAAAACATCATTATAAACTGAGTCAACCATCTTACTAACAGTTTCTTTATTGATTGGTGGGAAACATATCCTTTCTTCAATATCCTGTAAAACAGTGACTTGAGCATTATCAAACTCATTCACCACGGAGTTCACACCTAATATATTTATTTCATTGAGCTGGACCTCAGTGATATCTATATTTTTGGCCCACAATGAGATATAGAGGTTAAGAAAAATGCCTACAATTATTTCCTCAAAAAATGTGGCAGAGTAAACTCTTGTGCTTATGCCTCTTAAATGTCACATGCTATGAATGGCTGTTGCATTCATTGCCTTTTTTCCTAGTCTTTGAAGAGGAGGTAGACAAAAAGATTTTTTTGGAAATTGCTTACCAAAGGGGGCTTGCATTTTGTAACAAATTGCCCTGAAATTTTTCAGTGCCCCTGTCAAAGGCTTGCTGCAATAACTCATTAATCTTACAGAGTCTTTACCCTGTCTTAATTCTTTTAATTCTGGCCTTTTTACTTTTGGAAAACTAGAAAGTCTCTCTCCTGTCCTATACGTTAAATGCTTGTTTGAAAAGGGCGGACTTCTTGGAGGTTGCTGTACACTGTGTGTCAGTTTTTCCATTGAGGATTTTACCAAGCTATGGGAAATAATACTAAGCGTAGATTCTTGATCTGTTTCTGTCAGATTTTTCAAAATGTCTGACATGTCATATCCTTCAAGTGGTGAACCCGTTGTTCTACAATAACCAAATTCTTCATCCTCTACATTTGGAAGTTTGTCGAACAGTTGACATTCTGCTGATATTTCATCAGAAAGAGGGTCATTTGTAAGGGAGTTGTTGATTGTACATTCTTCCAAAAGCATTATAATAAGTTTCTCACACACAACATTCAGAAGGAAAACTGATTTGGGGGAGAGCCCTAGGTTATTTCTACGTATGCTATGACTTTGCTGTGTTCTTGGAAATGGGAATATTTTCACTGCTATTCTACCAGAATCCATATCCCAATTTAGGCATTCATCTGGCAAAAACAAATCTAAAACAATATTAAAAATTTTATTGACTGCTTCTCTGGATTCATGAGTTTTTAGGCTACCAACAAGAGTGCCTATCTTACATGCCAGATAATTTAGTTTATTTTTTTTGTATGAGTTGATCAAATTGGGGAGTAGGAGCTGATTTCCAATCTCTGGGGCCTCTCTGTCTTCACAGTTTTGGTTTCGTTGTGAATGGCCAAATTATGGTTTCTAAGCATGGAAAGTGATTTGTTTCTTCCTTTGCTGTCAGGCTGATAATTTATTCCTATCTGTCTGGACAGAACATGGATCACTCCTATTAAGAGATCCTGAAAGAGATCGTCAAAGTCAGTCACAGCTGCTCTTGGGCAGTAATATATTTTGTTTTTACAGAAACTATTTATTGCGTAATGTCTGCCTTTAAAATGTCACTGTTAAAAAGGATTCGAATAATGATTTCAGAAATACTCAAAGCAAGTTCTCTGATAAAAATTGACTGACTCTCAAATGCTTGGGAATGAAGTGAAATAACCTTGTTAAAGGCTGCATCTTGGCTTTCCAGTGCTTTCTGTTTTGTTTCACTGTCTTCGGTGCAATCAGAAATTCTTGAAATTATATAAAAAATAACTAACTCAGTCAGATGTTCACAAAATTGATTAAGTGAAGAATTGCTGTTTATGTTTTTTAGAGGCTGTTTTGATTCATGTTTTTTCCTTAACAGTGTGGAAACAATAGACACTTTCTCATCATGAGGACCTAAAAACAGAAAACATTGCTGGGTTTTTTTTTTTTTTTTTTTTTTTTTTTTCTTTTT